CCTAGATTCCACTAAAGAACCAAAATTAGCTCGAATGCTGCTGTTAAGTTCCCCTTCACACAAAGAGTTGATTTGGAGGTGCAGACGCTACACTTTGTTTAACATGGCTATGTTTTCTGCATGTAAAGAAACATAAAGGATGCGAGACAATATCTCTGTTATCCTACTTATTCACCCTCACACCATCTTCACACCTTCACCGGCTGGACCACGCCCTTTTATTAGCGTCATTAATCTCGGAAACTCTTGCAAGGTCTGAGTTACCGCGCGTCAATAGCCCCTCATTTACGCGGAGATGATGATCTAATAAGCATCGTAACACCTCGCGCTCAGCCATTCACGCATGATTGCACTCTACTTGGATCGCTCTTATAATCTGCACATGCTTCCACGATTTGTCCACTGCTTTCAAGAAGATTTATCTGTCACTGTACTGACACGGCGTTACCCGAGCGGCTACGTCTCTTGACCCACGCATACTCCAATCCACTGACTTTCATTGTGCCGACTACTTCTCATTGCTTTTCCTTGTGCAAATGTTCTTTCTCGTTCGTTTTCGTTCGCCTCAAACTCATTCTTCTACTGCCCCTTGGATGAAAATGCAAAGTATTCCACTCTGATGGATGTGCTATTCTTTTTCAAAACTTGGCACAATCTGCTGACGTCGCTGTTTTACCGTTCTTTTCCTTATGAATCGCTTACTCTGAACGAATAGAAAATTCAGTCCAAATTTCGACACCAGGATACTTTTCAAGCATGAAATCTAGGTTTGATAGCCGTTGCATTTCATATTTGGACTGGTACTTGTTTTAGAATCGATTTGTAAAACTTGAATGAATGTAAATGAGCGGTTCTGCGGTTAACAGTAGGACGTTTTGTTTCTCATTCAGTTTCTATTTTCAATTTTCCAGTCGCTTCCAGCAAATCCTACGGATACTGCTTGAAAAAGGCATAAGCGAGAGTGAGACCGTATCCGTTGCTAATCCATCATCTATTCACCTTTGCATAACCTCCACCACCTTGTCCACGCCAGTCAATGTCACTGTTCTAAGAAACTCTCGTGAGGCCTTACGTCATCGCTTGTAGCCTCTTGATTACGCGAAGGTGATGATTCAGTAGGCACAGTAACAGCTCGTTTCCATTCACGTATCGTTTCACTCAACTCGAGCGAGATTCGTTGCCTACTTAGCGGTCCTGATCCATATACTAACAAGGGAAGGATACCAACATTAGTCGGAGATTGAAAATGAGATTTATATCAGTAAACGCGCCTTTGAACGCTGACTCCAAATCTGCTTTCCTTTTTTGCGGAATAAGTTTCCGGAAGAAGCCCACAAACCGTTCGAATATCCAAATTTGTCAAGGTTTAGATGGCCTAAAATTGGCGAAAAGCTGTACAAAACCATCGGAAAGTGAAAATCATTTTTGTGTCGAGTATATTGTTTGCAAGGAAGGAACAAAGCCGATGGAAATCGCATAGATGTTGTTTTAGAGCGTTTCGCTAATTTAAGCCACTCAGTGCATGGCAAATCTGGACATTCGAACGCTCATAACTTTTTTCGAAAACCTCTTCAGCAAAAAAGGAAGCAGATTTTGAATCAGCGTTCAAAGGCGCTCTAAGAATATACATCTCATCTTCAGTTGCCAACTAATGTGGGTATCCTTCCCTTGTAAGTCAATTCTCTGTACAGAAATCTTTGAATTTTTTCGTTTTGTTCTTGCGTTGATACAAGATAGCTTCACTAGTCATCAGAAGATACATATTTCATAAGTTTAGTACATACTTGAAGCAAGATTATTCATCTAACAATTCTCAAAAATGAATGAAAATTAAGAAAACGTCTTGTTGTTAGCAGCAGAAATTGCGCTCATTGTAAGAATTATTGTTACTGATCTGATCTTGATGTATTTGAGTATGTAAACAGGAAGAAACGTCTTTGCAATCTAGTAGATGGTTCCGATTCCGACATCTACTCTTTCTTTCTCATTATATGCTTAATCAGCTTGCTTCGTAGAAAAGAATCCTTTTTCTTGAGTTTTTCCCGTGTATTTTGACCGATTGGGAATAATGCGGAGTTTTTCGTCATTAATTACAAAAGCAGCTAGGTCAGGAAATAGCTAAACCATAATGCAGGAGAAGGGAGCTAATGATTTTTGCAGCAGTCTACATAATGATATCTCTAGCTCCTTTTTGACTCCTACGAAAACGACAATTATGTATCTTGTCGGAACGGTATCAAAAAACCGCAGTGTTTCATCCTTTGCGCCATCATTGGTCATCAGCGCTTTGTCAGCGGATACGCCTCTTTTCTCTTCTCCCTATTAAACATACGATCTCCCTTCCCTTCTGATGCTAGAAAAAATAAGGCGATGACACTGTTTATGCACAACTAGTAAAACTTGTGCAAGTTTATTGCTAAAGTCGATTGGTCAATTGAGATAGATACATTTATGTATGAAAACAAACAACATGGATCTCATCAAAATAGCGAAAAAATTATCGTTGTCGTTCTTGCTGTTCATCGTGGACATCCTCGGGAAACGTTGAGATATGGTGTAATTTTCAACAAAAGAGGAGCAATAGCATTCAAAAACATTTTTTTTGACTCGGAATCATCCTTTAATACATGCTACATAAATATATATGTTTTGCTAGAATCATTGGTGCACACAATTCAATTTTATGAAGTCGGTAGCATATTACGTTCTTACAGGTATGTTTTTCAAAGACTGAAAGATGAAACAAAACCTTTCTGTACTGTCTAACCTTTCTATTCAATCTAATTTCTTTTTGATTCAATACATTAGTACAGTGCTATATTCAATAATAGAAAAAGCAGCGATTATACGTAAAGTAGTTAAGCCTTGAGACACAAAATCCTTTTCCGGTTTTGTCACCCAAGTGGGTCAAGTAAATTCTCTTTTGAATTACTTGCCTATTCTCTACAGACGTTCATTACTCAAGTGCCCTTCGAACACTTGCACCTGCTCCGTGGCGGTTGCATGCGCATACCCGTTGTTTTTGATATGAAACTCGTATGGATTTTGATTCACGCAATCTCTATAACTTTCCTCTGCACTTTGCGGTCAAAATATCCTCGCTGAAATCGCTCACTAAATGGTGTTACAGTCGAAGGCCGAATCTCATAATTTGCAGCGCGCACTCCATTCATAGGTTGAGTCTTTAGTTAATCGAGGTTAACTGCCACCGATTTTATATTCAGATGTCACCGTTCGTGCACAAACTGTTCAGGTCCTGATACTGAAATCTTCCTGGCTTGCATAGCCTCACCGCCGAGGCTTGGAAAGATAAAGAAGAGCACACATCGCCATCATTGCCATTCATATAAATGACTGCATATCTTACAGAATCTCAGAATAATTTGCGATTCTATGCGCTAAGTGGATTTTGTGGGCTTATTAGTCTCTTTCTCAGTCTGTTTCTCGCGTCCATCATTTTTCTGCTATCCCGATAGTCGTTGGTCATCTCCTTAAACGCAAACTTTTCCCGACAGGGCGTTATCAGGAAAAAAGTAGCGGTGGCCTGCCAGTGCAGCCAGCCTATCGATGGGTTTTTTTTCCAGTCTGAGATCTTCATCGATACTAAAAGGCGAAAACGGGTGCAATATTTCAAACCTTAGTAATCCCCTCACTGTTTTTTCTTTCTCAATTTTTGCACAGTTGTGCCACTTGCTTCGACCATACCTGCAACCGTTGTTGCGCATGATTAATAGCTGCAGAATCCATGAAAGAAACATCTCAATGTGTAATGTACTCGAAGAAGAACAATGTCCTTTCACTTATGCCCAGCGTATTCTTCTTCTGCACTGCATCCATTAACACCAAATATTCAAGTTTTAGCAGTTCTATATCCCTCTGCTGCTTCCCATGGCAGACTTCAAAGCAATCATCATCAGGGTAAAGCGGGGGATGCGGCACGCCGCACCGGGGGTCGTATTGAGGAGTCAAAAGGGGGGGGGGGGTCGTAGTTGGGTAAACTGATAATAGCGATAACATGATATCCGTATCATATCCATAATTAGCGTGTCAATTAACCCCTGTAGACAAAGTGTGAGCGAATTCTGAAGATTCAAGATACTAGGATACCTAAATGAAATGGTCAAATTCCAGCATGGTTTAACTTTGTTTCAAAGGTGAACTAGGTATACGTTGTCCGCACTGCGCGCGGAGAGCAACGCTGTTGCGTCCAGTGAAGATAGTTGAGCGCAGAGAAAAACAGGCGGCGAGAGCACGGGGAAAGAGGAGTGACGCGCAATACACACCTTGCGCACTCTCCGCGCCCTGCGCGGACGGCCTATATCCGTTTTTGCACTCAAGACAAAGCACTACTCCTTCTTTGTCCACCTCAGGAATTCCGCTTCAGAAGACCTTCAAACTGTGGAATTAGAAGCCAACCAAAATCTCGTTTTTCCCATTTTTCGCTTTTGATCGCTTTGCTCTCACCAAATATTACTCAGAGCTAAGAAAACGAATCAGGCTCAAAACAGTCCCATGGAATCTGCAAGGTTTAGGCTATCGATTCGTATAAATATTGTCTGCTAAAAATGTTTTTTGATATAGTTAATGGGGTGCGGCCCCCCCCCCTCAAAAGCTGCGGCTGCCGCAGCTTTTAAGAGGGGGGGGGGGTGCCGCACCCCATTAAGTCACCTTCAAAGAGCTTAAACATGAACGCTATCTACATCCGTACAATCAGTGAACCTTCTCCTCTTTGAAGCAAAAATTTCATTCGAGATCGTTTCTTTCGAAAGAAGTTATGGAACCTTTTTCCATTACATTCACTTCGAAACAAGGCGAAAAAAAATATGGGTTACGGTAGGACGCCGGCTCTGCTCCGGTACGTAAGTTGCAGGAACGCGGCAAAATAAATAATTTGAATGCTTTGTACTGTTAATGCGACCATTTTTGAGTTGTTCTTGCTTCCGTGTTTATCTTCGTTTTATTCTCTTTGATCATTGCTGCCATTTAGGGATGGTGCGCTTATGTTAGCAATTTTCCAGGGCATTTCCGATGAAACAAACGCGCTTTTGGACCAACGAAATGTGGCATTTCCCAACCTGCGATCTCTCAACATGATATCTATGGAACTACTGAGCCATCCTCCTCCACGCAGGTCCTTATTTACATGCTTCATTTGTAGCGTACAATTTCCCCTTCAGTCTGTCAACGTGGATTATATGATGAAAGTCCTATTTTTAGGAAGGTCGGTGTTGCAAGCATGGACACTCGTAACGTACTCGTCTTGGGTGAGGAAGACTTGGAAGGAGAGGGTATGCTAGGATTGCGTGAAACCAGAGAGAGGACCATCATTGCCATCACATTCGAATCAACAGCAGCCAGTTTTTGAAGGGTTAGTGTTACAGTAGTTCTAATGTCGTGGCCACTTTGATTTTGCTCCTTGTCAGATGCACGTTCTTCAGATGCTCGACTAGTAGACCTAATGGTCGACTAGTCGAGCATCTGAAGAACGACTGACGAGGAAAAAGCTTTGGAGGAGGAAGAGGAGCGAGAGCCGCCAGTATTTACATCGCGATGTCCGGGACTACGCTTTCCTTACCTAAGGTATAGCATGCTTTGGTCAATTCACAGATATTTATCTTACTTGCTTTCCTGCATATTGAATTGGTGCTGAGAACTGTGATTTAGGTAAAAGAAATTCCCGAAAGACGAGGAGACATCTCCAAATGATCTGCTACGCCGCTGTTTGACCCATTGAAGGATTTGACAACGCTTGATCTCTCGTATTGGAATAGAGTAAGTGTCAAGAATATGAAGGGGATTGCTTGCGCACTATTTCACATCCTCTACACTTTTAGTTGGAAGATCTCACAAGGAAGGTCGGATCAGCCGAAGTGGCCTTTTCAAATGGGTCATATACTATTTTGAAGAGCGTTAAACGCTGATTCCGAATTTTCTTCGTTATCTGCCGAGCGCCTCTGGACGCCGAGTTATAAATGTTTTTTGGAGCGAAAAATGAACGTAGAATTCAAGTAAAATTGACTATTACGGACTTTTCAGCGCCTAGATAGAACAACATGTAGTATGAGTGTTTTGGGCAAAAGGTATCCTTTGAAATGGAGTGCTCTGATAACCAACATTGGACCATTTGAGCAATTCTGACGAATTTTGCTCTAATCACGCATCCAATTTTTCAACCCAAAGAACCATAACTCGGCGTCCAGAGGCGCTCGGCAGATAACGAAGACAGATTCGGAATCAGCGTCCTAAGCTCTATAAGATAGTATACATTTCAAGATGAAATGCCACTTCGACCAGGTATCCTTCCCTTGTCAGATGCATTCATCCGCTTCACCTGACCGCTAATAAAGTGCGGTTCATATTTATACGAACACCCAAAATTTTGTAAGTTTTCGAACTTTTTGGGAGAAACTCAAAAAGCCGTTGGTACCACGCGATAGAACACAGCCGAAAACGGTATATGATCCATAAGAATGGAAATCGATGTCAACTGTAAGAGTGTTTTTGTGCCTAATGCGAATTTTTAGCGGTTCATAATTATACGAACACCTCAAACAAAGGTCCATTTTTCATTCAAGATTGCAATCATTTGAGTCCAAATTTTTTGTAGGGTTACAGTAACAAAGTCTGACATATCTGCCATACACTGAACCCAGTGCAGTTCAAAACGATTACCGTTACTTTTTTGAGAAGGCTCTAAATGCTTTTGGAATGATTGCGCTCCAAAAACATCCGTTCTTCTGTGGTTTACGCGCTCTAAGTAGCTTCTACCAAAGCTACGAGATAGAATAAGCTTTTTTAATAGGTATTTTGTTTGACGCTTGGAAAATCTTTGCGTTTTCGTGCCGTTTTTCAACCAAGTTCCAACCTTACCACAGAGTTGGCACGATTTCGAGCCTCAAAACTCAGCTTCTCTCTTGCGCAAACATTTGATATGAAGCAGCTGCATTGTTTGCATGATGATGTTTCTGTGCCAAAGTTTTTGGGTTTTTTCTAGAACTGATCTTGCGGCTGTGGAGCTACAAACCAAATAAAGGTGTGATTGCAATAGTAAAAACAGTATTTTTGGTGAAATGACGTCTGCGTGACCAAAACAAACGCTCAACGCTGCTGATTTTTTCTAACCAAATATAAAGTCTTGTGAACTTCTACATACTATATGATTACTTCATTGTACGGCTTCAGAAGCTGAGTTTTGAGGCTCGAAATCGTGCCAACTCTGTGGTAAGGTTGGAACTTGGTTGAAAAACGGCACGAAAACGCAAAGATTTTCCAAGCTTCAAACAAAATACCTATCGAAAGAGCTTATTCTATCTCGTAGCTTTGGTAGAAGCTACTTAGAGCGCGTAAACCACAGAAGAACGGATGTTTTTGGAGCGCAATCATTCCAAAAGCATTTGGAGCCTTCTCAAAAAAGTAACGGTAATCGTTTTGAACTGCACTGGGTTCAGTGTATGGCAGATATGTCAGACTTTGTTACTGTAACCCTACAAAAAATTTGGACTCAAATGATTGCAATCTTGAATGAAAAATGGACCTTTGTTTGAGGTGTTCGTATAATTATGAACCGCTAAAAATTCGCATTAGGCGCAAAAACACTCCTACAGTTGACATCGATTTCCATTCTTATGGATCATATACCGTCTTCGGCTGTGTTCTATCGCGTGGTACCAACGGCTTTTTGAATTTCTCCCAAAAAGTCCAAAAACTTACAAAATTTTGGGTGTTCGTATAATTATGAACCGCACTTTACTGTTCGACGTGCCTGACTTGTATCAGGCCATTGATAGCATCATAACCATATCGGAATTGAGGTATTCAGCACCTGTTTTTTGCATTGAGTTGCTGAGTATAGTGTTCTAGACAAATTCTAGTGAACTGCGAATAAAAGGTTGCGCTTTTAGGTTTCTTGACTTGTCTCAATCATCGCGCATACAGGACTTTACCGTTGCCTTCCCCACGAACGAATGGCTCAAGGTATGCTCTTTTTTCTAATATTTTTGTTTTTGTGGTTTTCATTAGTACACTTTCCATAATCTGTTAAAGCTCTTCTGTTTTAACTTGTCGGTTTTGATTGTCGTCGTAGTTTTCACGTGAAAGCTTTTTTTCATCTTTTGGGGGCCTTGAAGCACCTTGGTCGTTTGGCTTTAGCTCGTTAAAGGCAGTGGCTCGGGAAAATTGCGACTGCGGGCTTCTACGACTACATGGCCTCCTGGACCAGCTGAGTCCGGTACTGCGCTTGAAAAGATCCCAAGCAATCTCCAAGACCCGGAAACGCCAAGAAAAGCACTCTTTTGACTTTCCAAACGCAGTACCGAACTCAGCTGGTCAGAAGGCCACGTAGTCGTGGGAAGCCAAACCTGTGCATTGCTTATGGGGTGTGGGAGGGCGGGAGGTAGGGAATGGGGGGCGGGGGGTCGTGCCGAGGTTCGGCCCAAGGGGGGGGGTCGTATCCGACGGTCGTGTGCCGCACCCCCCGCTTTACCCTGCTCGTCAGAAGGGGGTTTTTCGTTCCAATTCCTCGTCCTTTTAACCCACACAACTGTCCCCCCTAGCGTTGAAGATGAAGCTACTCTTCAATTTCGTTCCATATGAACCACATCGACTATAAGTGGCATACTGTAAGAGTAGATCTTTATCGCTCGCGCATTTGCTATCGACATCAGGCATTCGTCAACGTTCTCTTGCGTAATTGACGCAGAAGTGTGTCCAGCATGGGTCGATGATTTCCTTCTCTTCAATGCTCTCTTGTCATCTGTGGTAGCATTCAGTTCTAAAGGAGCCATATTTATTAATTATCGAGACCCGATACCGATACTTCATCCTGATTTTTTCTTGGAATATTCAGAAATGAATTTTTCTGTTTTTACGGGACATATTCATATGAATCAGCTAGGAGCTCTCGCTAAACACAATTCGAGAAACTCCTTGCTTTTTCGGTAATCAGTGTGATAGGTGTTCTACCTAGAATATCGGTCAGAAAGATTTTCAAGGGGTTTTCTTTCATGCAGCCTAAAAGAAAAGGACTAGTTATGCATTCAGTAAACATGTATGCTCCTTTGCAAGCGAAACCTTTCGCAGCTAAAGCTTTCTGCTTGTCCTGGATGAAGTGTGTAAATAATTCAAAAAAAGAAAAATTTTTCTGGCTTCTTTATTGCCATTTTGACTCTGCGCTTGACTATTCAGAAAAGTAGCGTTTTGTAATTGAGTGATAAATGAATTATTTCTAACAATTTCTGCAAAATGCGATTCTGACGCTATAGAAGCAAAGCAAAAGCATCTTACGCATTCAGCTCAGTGATTTACAAGTAATTCACCCATCACCCTATATGGTTATCCTTAATCTCTTCCATTCATGTTACCATCCAGTATATTGGCGAAAGGATAATTTTTTCAACTACCCATGTCATTTGCTTGTCTATGTGACTGCAGGTGGGGTGGTTGAGAGACTGGGAGTATGCCCTGCAGTCGCGAATTCATACCAATATGCTATCATTCCCAACATTTACAACTGCGAGGTGGCACTTTTCTCAGAGTAATTGTACCTCTACATAGAACTGTTAGGTTACAAGGACCACCCCCTAATGCCATTGTTCTGAGGCTGACTTGCTTTCATTCTCTCTCTTCCGCTACGCACTACCCTGTCATTCTATTTATGATGTTGTTTCTAGGCACTCTTGATCGTTAGTGGCGGCCTTTTTATTACTAAAACTTTAGAGTTATTGGATTTCACACTCATAGCATGTGTTTGACGCATTGTAGGCGATACACATCTATGTGACTCAAGATAAGATCTCAGGTGTTGACAGTTAGCGTACTCTAGGTGTGGGATTTCGATAGCAATGTCATTCTCGGATATTCTTGAGCTCCACCTCGCATTTTGTTCCAGTTGTCATTTGACTGCAACGACTTTTTCTGAGGACTTTCGAATTAAGATATCAAGCTCATATATCGTTTTTTGAAGATGTCATAACGAAACTCATTTTTGTAAAAAAAAAAATTGTGGAGCTGGTACGGCGCCTCAACTCATGTTGATCTCAATCTGAATGAAATATAGCTGCTTCCATAAAATTAAGTCCCAATCATTCATTTCCCCGTTTGTAATCCATATCCTCCTTATCTGCATTGGGTCATTAGTAGCCCGACAGCTCTCTTTCGATTTAGAATGATGAATCGATCAAAGCTTTTCCCCCGTTCTGTGCATCCATAATTACTTGGGAGGAGATACGAAAAATGGGAGGGCCCAGTTATCTCCCCTCTTTTTGAAGGGTGCATCCCTGAACTATAAGATGTTGTTTACTCAATGTTCAACTTTAGATAAATACTAAATAGCGTAGCTGGTTACAAAAGTGGATAATTAACAGATGTTGCTATTTTTGGCCTTGTTACCTGTTATTCTGGCGGAATCATTTTGGATGACCGCAGAGCTGTTACGAGTAGATTGGAGGGAGGGATGCTTAACTACCGCTGGTTGCTCCCTTCCAAGATTCAAGGTATTTCGAAGAAACTTGAGCTCCATAAATATTTGGGTTTGGCTCCAGACGCAGATGCTTTCAGATTCTCAAAAATATGCTCCCACTCAAAGAGAAAATTTCTATTAGCTGGCCAGTTTCCGAGGATTTTGAGCAGGTGACCAAATATTCCTTTTCCGCTTCCTCAGAAATACCTCTCAATCATTCTGTCCCTTTGATCCATCCGCCACAATCTCTGTCAAATACCGTGCATAATGGCGTCGTCTAATTGTGATTAACGATGTTCCGCACATTCGCCAGCATTGTTCTGCCGCATTTGAGGTTTTTATGGACTTGTATACCTTTTGTATGTCGACTTTGATATCAGTTTATTACGATAGCATCTATGAGGGCATTCAGCGGCCAAAGTTTTGAAGACATTGTATACCGCTGTATTACGGTAACACCTGTGAGCGTTTTACTGCCAAAGCCTTGGAGATACTGTAGCTCTCGCGCTAATGAATAATTATTGCATCCTATACATCCCCGACTGAGTCCAGTATTTTGCTTACCGATAACGGGGGTTTGGGCATATCGTAAGGTGCAGGCTTATTTTGCCGTTCTAGCGCTACCATGAGATGTGCTAGATAACCATTATGCCCTGAGAGCACAAATTTCTGACCCAATAGTGCTCTCGGAACCGTTTGGAAAACACTGGGCTCACCTCACAGTGAGTATTACCATTCCCCAAATTATATTTTAGGATTATTCACGCCCGTTTGTTTCCCATCGGGCAAAGGGCATCCCAGAGGATTTGATACTCTCTTGCCAAGTGGTTGGAATCGATCCGACCTATGGCTTTCCACGAATCTGCGACCAAACTGCCTCGATCCGTGTTTTTAAGGACAATGCATCTGTAAGCTAGAAACTCGCAGTTATTAATCACAGCTCGAGTTTCGCTAATTTTCATTGTCGAAAAACAGCTGCATTTGCGCAATAAATTTTGTTGGTAGTATTTCGAATGCGTTTAGGACTGTAATCGGCCTCAGCTGGCCACAATCACCACATCTCACCGGAAGAGGAGTTGGGCAAGAAGCTGATTGAGATGCGAGCCAAGTGCTTCAATGTCACCATAGCTGTTCATAAGCATAAAGAGAGATGTCCATGGTGTCCTGATCCATCAGAAGTGACTGTAGTTCAGCAAACGGTTGCGTTTTAAATTTTTTTATGGTTTTGTACATATTTTGAGGGCTTTTTGCTCCCCATACATAAGAAAATAAGTTTTAAAAACCAAAAATGTCAGGTTTTGACGAGTATGGTTATCCGGAAGCTTATAACTGTACGGTCTAACACTAACTTCAGTGATATCATGAACTCCTAAGAACGATTTTGAATTTTGGAACTCTTAAATGTGCATCAATGTCAGCGAGTAAATGCCACCAATTTGTCATTTCTTGATGGTTCTCCTTTTTTGCCCATTATATTATTTTCTCTCCCACGCATTCTACAAATTCAGGGCTTACTTTTCTAGCGATTGAATCGCAATTATTATAGTGTTGACTTTTTGTCTATGGGCACAGGAAACTTCTCAGCTCGCACCTGCAGAGGCGACGTTGACCTCCCAATATTTTACACGAATGACTGAACAACTTAGGTAGTATGCCTCCCTGGTGCGAGTAATCACGAGTTCCCTGTGAGGAATCTCACCTACTGTGTCATCACAATATGATCACAAAACACCACACAAGTTTGAATTTTACAGTTGCCCGATGATGTCCCGTCAGCAGATCCGACTTCAGTATTTATGCGGTTGTTAGGAGACGACACCATCATGCCTCTATCCATGCTGGTTCTGGCAGGAACTGCTGTCATTTCATCGCTTGGCATCGCTTGTGTCCTCATAGCTTTCCTGCGTTTGAAAAGGTTTGATATCGGGCGAGAATTATTAGCAATAGTGTAATTAATGGAAGCTCTTGTTTAGATCCAATCGCCAATTTCCTTCGAAATCACTCTCTCAACCACGTTCTCGGTCAAATCTGGTAAAAATACCAATTAGGTAAGCAGCTTATTCAACAAGTAATTAGCGTAACCTGAATTTTGCATAACGATTTCGGAATGTGTTCAACCGGGGCAGTTTTCGAGTTCATGCCTTTCTTCCAGAGATGCGCCATGGGAACAGACGCGTCCTACCTACTGGCTGTCGTCTTCATCGAAATATGAAGCCACAACGACTTCGCCGCTCGAGTCGGTTTCGTCTATAGGCACGCGATCGTCACTGGATGTTCCGAGCTACCGATCCAAAGTTACGATACCACGAGAGCACCTCTACCACCAAATTCCTCCAAATTCATCGGTGGAATCTGAGCAAGAACCTGGCAAGTGATCTAGTAGCCCAGTTGGGCTTACCTCTAGATCCCGGTACGGGTATGTCTTTCGCTATCTCGCTCCACATAGACCTTAATAATCATGCATTCCAGGCTTGAATGCAAGACAAGCTGTTGGCGAAAAACCAAGAATGCGTTTAATATTTTTGGAGGCGGAAAAATGAAGTTGAAAAATTCATTTCTGGCCAAATTATGCGCTTGAAATTATCAGTGCATCAGTATCTACGAAACAAGATAGTTGCAGAACAAGCCCTCTGATGCAAATAAGTGCGGTCTATTTTTCTTTCTCTTTCGCTTGTGCAGCGCTTTTACAAAATATTTCTCTTTTCAGGAAGCGTAAACTACGTTGTATGCTCATAGATTGACAAAGCACAAATCGAATAAATATATAAGGATAGATTTGCTGCGAAAGTCGAGAAAATCTTGGACATTCTGGAAAACAACAAGTACTATCAGCACGGTAAGTTTATCTTTACTAGATTCCGTAGGGCAGTTCATATAATCTAGTTTCCTTTATGTCACTTCTGATAAATCTCCTGTTTCACTCAAGTCCCCGTCATATTGCTGCTTTCCTAACTCGAATCATCATCCTCAGATTAGGGGAGGAATTTTGGAATTTTTATTTCAAAGTTGTGACACATGTCTTTCGTGAAAAAAAAACCATGTGTAATTCAAAAAAGCTTTGCCCACCTGAGTGAGGTAACTAAAAAACTCGGAAGGACATTTTTCTGTTTAGTGTCGATTGACTGCCCGGTTTATTGTAATTTTTCAATTTTAGAGGCAGAGGAGAGACTTGAATTATCTGAGCAGTCCTACGCTGGAATAAGCACAATTGGCGGACGATAATCCATTTTTTTGTTCCATTCTGAAAAAGTGAGGACCGTCGGGCTTTGTTTCATAATGCACATGATATGAATAAGGTTTCGAATTTGGTGGTTTTGCTATTGTCTCGTTCCATAACAAATCCTCTACTGTCTACACTAGTGTTTTGTATCAACTGCCTATTGCTTTGTAACTATGAAAGTTCACATTTCTTTGCAAAAACGTTTCTTTTAAATCTCGATAGGCTAAGTTTGGAAAAGTTTTGATTTCAGCAGATGTTCATTCAAGATCTTGCTTTCCTTGAAGATTATATCAACTAGTCGCTCAATGATTTTTTTATAGGACTGGATATTTTGAATCTTTTAGAATAGTCTCATGTACATATTGTAATGATGCAAATAGAACAGATATGTTTTGAATGTCTATACGGCTAATAAGATTACGCATGTATACCTGTGACTTGATAGCTGAAGTTTTACTTAATTATAAAAAGTGACCACGTAAAGGCGGTTGCGTAGCGCGTCTAAGCAGAATTATTCGTGTCCTCCAGGTTTTCACTCAGCTTATGGCAACTAAAAGTTTTTACATGGATTACTGTAAGATAATGTCAATGCAAATGACAACTTGTTAAGTACCTATTTCTAGCTGTAACCGCTTTTGGGACATCCTCATGTGAGAAGCATCCTCGTAGCAGTCCAAAATTGTGTAATATTTACACCTTGGGTAATATCGGAGTAGCGGCAATCGCTGAGGAATCGCTTTTGGTTTTTTGATAGCACAAAAGTGATAGAAAACTTTGCTGGGTTCAGAATGCAGATATATCCAGTTATATTTTTATTTTTGAATACATCGAAAAAACCGTTTTCTGGGTCAATAGATCAAAATAATTCCATGGTCTTGCCATGGAATCATTTTGATCTACTCCCTAATTTGCAAATGACTTTTGAGATTTTTTCCGGTCTAACTTTATATCGCATGATTTTTATTATCTAAAATGAAGGTCCTATCGTATTGTACTAGGATTTCACTTAATATATGATCAAAATGTATCTTTTGAAAAACACCAAAGCCGAGTCACATGGCTGTTACTGACAGATGGCTCGACTAGATTAAAATTACATTCCGAACTGGCTGTTTACATGTCCACTTATGATTTCATACTGTGAGAATTTACTCATATTTATGCCGCTCTATGTAATCTTTATTATGGGAGTTGTCTAAACGACGCATAGACCTTCAGAACATCCTCTTGGGCACTTCGAGCACGGTGTTCCTGTTTCGTAGATCTTGGCGTTCAGCATGTTTCCTCTGAACTTGTTGCTCTGATGGTAAGCTTACTAAAGCAGCCTTACTTACGCTTCTTTATAATTGCAGACAGCCAAGGACATCTTAGGGCAGCTTTGAACAGCGCAACCAATAACTTTTGTAGACTGCCAGACCATCTAAATTGAGTGTTTATTTATGCGAAGCGGTGACATCGCCCTAGCTGGTTGCGTGCTTGCGGCAGGCGAAGACTTATCAACTATGCCGAGCTTTCATGATGGCACGAAGCAAATGCACCAGCAGAGCATGATCCTGCGCCAGCAAGACCTTTAGTACTTTGACTGTCTTTTAGATAAGACCCGATGGTGGTGTGTGTTTGTGTTCGCTCAGAGAACTATTAAGGAAAACGGTAATGCAGTAATGTCTACCTGTGCATAGTGCCCAACATGATTGTTGAATAGTTTCATGCTAAAGGTGAGGTCTTTGCCAACTCCCTTCTGAGCGAGCTCCTCAAACCATGATCTTGAAGCCTGGAATGATACCAATTGTTTTGTTCAAAGAAACAGGCACCGTGTCTATTCTCACATCCTCGGCAGCTTTTACTGGGTCATAAGCTGCGCTGCTCATATAGATGTTTTCTCCAAGACCTTTAGTGTTTGAGTGCTGAAAGACACACTTGGCAGCGTGTTTCACGGCGTATTTCTCCACATCGCAGTCGTACTTCTGGAATAGCTCGCTATTACTTGTTGGCCATCATCATGATTGACAGTAAAAATAAAAACACCAGTTTGTTCATCGCAGCAGCCTTAGGAGCATAACCTCCATAACCGTCTTTGGCTTTTCCATTAGCCACCAGCGACCTGTATGGATAATTATTGTAAACTCTCAAAAAGCGGAGAAAGCTTTCCAGTATATTCAATACCTTAACTCGTTGTGAACGTCCAAGAACTTTTGACGGATCTGATCGTTCATGCCGCCATTGCTGGGGCAAATGCCTGGTAAAGATGGGAATGATTTTTTGACAAATGAATGGCACAAAGAGATACCATACCTGCATAAGCAGTTGCGACGAGGCAGACCTAAAATGTATGTTAGGTATCTCACTCAAGAACAGAGGAATCGCTACTTACCAAAAGAATAGAACGCATCTTGTATATGATGCTGATCCGGAGTTGCTGCTGCTTTTATGCACGTTGTGACCTTTTACCCTTTTGACGTCGATCATAAGCTGTGTCATCTTTTCTATGTCATTTTTCATCGGGTATTAGGGTCTATTATTGAAATCTGTTATCATAGCTGTTCCTCCCAAGCAAAGTGAATTCTGATGTCAAATAGAACATTGGTAGCAAAAAACCAGTGGAGCCATTGATAATGCTGAACGCAGGTATTCATAGTCAGCTGCTCAAATTCCTGGAATCCTACATTAATGAACGCAAAATGACAGTGCGCGTTGTGCGCGTTAGAAATATGTATTCAGAAAAGTTTTGCAGCGGTGGAGTTCCATAGGAGGAATCCTCTTACTCCTCGGTCATGCGCTCCTAAAATTAGTAACGAAATTACGAGCCATTAATTACTGGATCTTTAGGCCCAGCGGAGAGCGTACAGGTAAGTTTGCTTTACATTACGGTAATCTATGTGGAAAATGCTTTTGCAAACTTTCAATTCATTTTTTGCCGAACCACAAGATTGTTAAGCCTATTGCCTCAAGAAATTATTTCTAGTAAGAACTCATTCTCATTTCGTAGGAATTTCGTAACTTCATTGATGTCATTGTTGTTGTGTTGGTGTGTACTGACGCCAAAGTGGCGCGCTCGTGGGCAAATCAAGACATAAATAAATAAAAATTAGTAATCCTGCCAACTGGTAATCTGACAAATTTAATCGTCCAAAGCTTAAATTTTTTGCAATCCAAGCACACATGAGAACTAGCGTCTTTTGGTCCCTTTAGCATCTGTGCGCGACATATGGACGACGCCAAAGGTCTCGCAAGCCGGTTGATACTGTGATTTAGATTTGACTGCAATTAGAAAATAGGAAAGAGAGGAATGACATCGCAATTGACGCGCGATTGGTGATCATCCTATTGTTGCCGTGGATTTCCGCTGTATGACTTATGAGATTCGCCAACAATTTGAAGTTTCAGCAACCTTTGCTGTGAATCAGTACTTTACGTGAATTTTTTGTGCCAATGAATGGCTGTGATAGTGCTTACTGCTCTTTTTTTCTCGTGAATCCTTTCTGAATCATCTGCAATAGCAGGTAGATCATCAGCACCCACTTTTGCGCTTGAACCAATGATTTCAGATTCGATTACCAGTGTAAACAACGAGCCCCTGCTACTAGAGTTTCGCTTCAAAGCTTTTCTAATTTTGACAGTCTGAGTCATTTTTCCTTCCCTCCTACGTTCTCTTCAATGAAAGCCATTCTGTGCTGAAAACGTCCTGCCATTATCCTGAACGAAGCATCATAAGAACATAAACTATTGGCTTGTGTGAAAGTGATGAAGATTACCGATATGCGAAGTAGGTAAATGAATAATTACAGTTACTCTTCTGACAAGATATGTACCTTATCATAAAGATGTCTAACAAGCTTAACCTAAGAAAGAATGTGAAATGACTGAAAATTCCTCCCTGCTACCCTGTAATTAGATATTTGGCAACTTGTGTGCCGCTGCTGCTGGCGTTTTGTCCTAAAGACAGCGGCTCGGGAAAATCGCAACTGGAGCTTTTCACAACCACATGGCCTTCCGGACCAGTTGAGTCAGGTAATGTGCTTGAAATGTCAAATAAGTGTTTTTTGGAGTTTACAGGCCTTGCAGATTGCTGTAGAGGCGGGGCGAGGGATTCCCGCCAAGACCAGCAAGCGACTGCAGGATACTGTAACTTCACCTATTTTGGCGGCAATTGGCGATCAGCCCAGGCAATCAATACGACACAAATGACGGGAAAAGCCAAAAAAGCATTTTTTTGACGTTTCAAGCACAGTACCTGACTCAGCTGGTCCAGAAGGCCATGGTATTGTAGAAATCCCCCTTTCGCGATTTCCCCAAGCCACTGCCTTTAAGCAAAGTCAAGTGCGTTCGCAGTAATTCAAAAAAGATCCACTTTAGCTTTCTGCTCGGCACTTCCAAACCTGATACTACTGAATGATCAGTAGAAGTATTGAAAAAAAAATCAAGTCTACCGTAATGCTGGCGAAATGCCAAAAGGCTTATAAGAAAATATATTGATGTAAACTCCAAGAACTCCTATCATTGACGAGCTACTGGTTTTCTTCTCACAATCGATGGCGTACAAAAGTTCTCATAGATTATAGCAGAAGCCCAAGCGAACCAAACTTACTTAGTGCAAGTTCCTCATTTCTGTTGTCCATAACTATTTACCTATCTCACACCAACTGTAAATCCTTGTGAATCCTTCCAGCAAAAGCTATTCTAAGCTGCACCACATGCGCAATTTCGTTTTGGAACCATGTCTGCTCCTCGTAGCTAATCTAGCCAGCCTGTCAAGAGTATCGTATATCGTGAACGCACTATTTTATTACATACTAGCTGGCTTACCCGGTTCCGCCGTATGTTCCGAATAGAAAATTCCATTTCTTAACCGATCCGGACCAAACTTGGCACACATACCCTGCGGGCCCCGGCGGGTGTCACAGTCCACTTTTCGTTATCGATCGATGTCGGTTTTATCGATTTTTTGCAAAATTTGAGCTACGGGGCTGGGAGTTGGCAGAGGGGTTAATCGAGCATGCTGATTACGAATACAATATTAGTTTTCGAAACCGTGCCTTACTTTTATCGATTTGATCGATTCTTTGCAAAATTTGAGCTAGGGGGCTGGAATTTGGCAGAGGGGTGTAATCGAGCACCCCCACGGGGGTGATCAGCATGCTCGATTACCCCCCTGTGCCAAATCCCAGCCCCGTAGCTCAAACTTAGCAAAAAAAAATCGATAAAATCGATAAAAGTAATGCACGATTTTAAAAACTAATACTGTATTCGGAATCCCCATGCTCACTTACCCCCCTGTGCCAACTCCCAGCCCCGTAGCTCAAATTTTGCAAAAAATCGATAAAATCGATATCGATCGATACGAAAAGTAGCCTATGACACCCGCCGGGGCCCGTAGTGTATGTGTGCCAAGTTTGGTCCCGATCGGTTCAGAAATGGAATTTTCTATTCGGAACATACGTACACACAGACATACAGACAGACATACAGACATACAGACAGACAGACAAACAGACATTCAGCTTTATATATAAGATTGCTGTGTATTAACACTCCTCTTGTTCTCATATTTCGCACTTTTGTTCATCGTTTAGTGCCATTTCCGATTTCTTATCTATACCAACTTTCCCCAGTGCTGCCCTAAACATAAAACTGATAAAACTTGCACTTTATTTCACGCTCAGCTAATTTGTTTCAGTGCTGCTCACACATGGGTTTTGACTGTAATTTTTCCTCACTGCAAATGTGTTTCCTGCCTTCCTTGTCTCCCTCCAATAAGTGGCGGTGTGTGGTATAAGGAGATACTAACTCCTGTCTGGTTTCATTGAAGGGCTTAGCCTTGCAGCTTCTTTCTTCTAAGTGATCAGCGACCGCTCGACTAGCTCCGCAAGCTTGATCTATAGCTTCCTTGAACTACAGATAAATTCCTTTGCATCACCAGATCTGTTGAGACGGTCCATTCGAAAATGCGGATTTTTGGTAACACTGTTCTTTGATGGAAGCCCCTGTGCTGGCTGATAAATCCAAGGTAGTTATTTCTCTTGTTGCTTACTTACCATTGATCGGGACCTCTTCGACAATATTCCTTTTACCGCGGCCAATGTAATTATTGGAGAGAATTGACACAGTAATAAGAAACTGATTTTCAAATTATTACGAAACATTTGCAGCTTTCAAAAAATGGCAGAGACGGTGAGGACACTAATTGACATAAGAACTAACCTTTGATACAACTGGCTTGGCGGCTGGAAGGCGGGGCTCTGTGACCTAACCAAGGCCGCTAACGCCCACGACGCAGCATGCGTCTCTCTCACACCCTTGCTCTCTAAGCATTCTCTAGGCTCAATTAGGACACGAAGCCTCGCATTCCAGCCGTCAGGCCAGTTGATTTAAAGGGTACATACTTTTATATTACCCACTGGCTCTTCAGCACTTCTGGATCATGCTCCTTATTGCGGTTTTTACAACTCACAAGCAAACAAGAACTTGAATAAGGCATAGTACTTCCTTTGCCTCTACGACGCGCTCTTTATAAGTAATGGTTTTTTCTCAACATGTCATTTTGATCGCTCAGCTTATAGGAAGCACATTCTTTGACGATACTCCTCGATTACATATAGTTTTCCACAATTCAAGGCGATTACAATCAGACGTGAGGATTGACTCTGAACGAACGCTTTTTGTTCGCTTACTCAGACAGCGGATAGGACCCCTCCGCCGGAGAAATGGCAGGGTCGCGGCGTTTCCCCAGCGGTGGGTCTCCCATTTGTCCGGCGGAGCCCTCCCATTTCTCCGGCGGAGACCTCCCATTTCTGCTCCGGATACCTCCCATTTACTGCTCCGAATACCTCCCATTTTCTGCTCCGGATACCTCCCATTTTCTGCTCCGGATACCTCCCATTTTCTGCTCCGGAGCCCCCCGATTTTGTGCGCCGGAGCCCCCCGATTTTGTGCTCCGCAAGTCTGCCGCGGCATACTGTAATTACCCCTAATTAAAGGCAGCTTCCAGGCAGATCTGAACCTATGGAGCTTTTACATGGAAAGTCTTTTGGGGCCCTAACTAAGGCACTGCCGAAGCAGCAGTTCAGGTAGTGCTCTAATGGCGGAGATATTCCCCTCGAAACAGACCCCCCGCGAACGTATTCGCATGGATTCATGGCAGTTTCGCGCGAGGATCCACGCTTTGCGCCATGAATCCATGCGAAACACGGTCACGGGGTCCAGTTTCGAGCAGAATATCTCAGGCGTTAGAGCACTACTTGAGCTGCCAGTTGGGTAGTGGCTTAGTTAGGGCCCCAAAAGTACTTTCCATGTAAAATCCCCATAGGTCCAGACTTGCCTGGACGCTGTCTTTAAGCTCCAAACCCCAATTTTGTCTCTAAACCCCACCCAAATAAGCCGAGTAGGACCCCCCCCCCGGGTAGGAGTTTAGCGCGACCCTCACCCCGTACTCTACCCCCTCCCTCTCACCCCTAGCGTTTGTGGATAGAAGATAGAAGAAAGAGAAGAGATAAGACATTTATTTCAAATTTTTCAAACTTTCGAAAAATCATCTTATATCGTTAATCATTTCACACCCACTGGTGTAAAAAAATGAACCTTTCCAACAAGACAACGGTTTGTGGAACAGTTTAAATTGCAGTCGCAGTTTGCCCATATTATTTATTTGCTTGCATATATGAAGAACGAATTTTCTCCACTGATGTCATCGGGAACAGCGCCAAGATTGAATTTGTTATTTTGATGAGCCAGTGCTAGAGATGCTCGTCGTAAATTGCGCTCCTCATCTGCTCCCTATAAAACAAAAGAATAACGTAAACTCTGAGACTTAAGAAAATGATTGGAATCTGTTAACGGATACTAATCGAAACTTGTCAAACAGTTACTTGAAACAAACTTTAGCTTCTCCGACGGTATACGATAGTATGGGGAAAACAAAATTCCACATTTGGGTTGTTCAATTTCTCACTTTAGGATGAACAATAGCTACCCTACCCTTAAGGATCCCTAAGTAAAGAAAATATACTTGCTGAAGTAAAAAGTCTCGAAAAGACCCGACACCTTTCCCAAGATACGTTCGCGTGCTTCACGTGCCGGATCCTAAAATATTTCGATTTATAGGCAAAGATCGAGTATCGAATAAACTAGTTCAATGAATCAGGGCAAAAACGGTCGAGAGATGTGACAAACTTTCCAAAACGTAACTTACCGCAACGATTGTGAAATCGAACCGCACATAGATAATTACAACGGTAAAGAGTGCAAAGAAAAATGCCGTGGCGAGCAATGGTTCGCGGATCATTTGCGAGAACTCAATCGTAAAACAGCTGAAAATGTATGACATAATTTTCAAATTCTAGCAAAAAAGAATATCGATTTATTCAGATCGAAGAGCAACTCACAGTGAAAGACTGGATATGCTCTGGAACAAGGTTTTCTTTCTGCAACACTATAACTGTTCTGCCAGTTGTGTCCAAGTATGTAGCGCGGACTTCATCGGGTCTTCTATCCATGCTGTATGGTGTGATAAGCCTCGCTTTTCTAAAATCAAACATGAATTTTAAAAAGCAGAGATGCGTTACACATCGGAAAAGGTTAGGTGCAATGTGTAACAAAGGGTGGCTTGTTTGTCGAGCACCCCAATTATATGTTGGTTCCTTCTCAACAATTTAAACTATATGACCCTTTTTCTCAAGACTGACAGTGGTGATCAAGAGTTTACCTTATCATTTCTGGCAGGATAATCTTCGTCGTAAGCTTTTCAACCACAGCATTGTCAAAAATATGGTCGAGAACTCTCATTTTTAGCGCATAATTATTGCCCTTATTGTAAAGATATTCGAAAGAAGGCACATTATAACCGATAACGTAGGAAGTGCGCCATCCTCCAAAAAGCGGGAATCTGAACGATAAAAAGGAATAAAATATTAACAGAGGCAATAAGTACGTGACATGTAACTCGGTTTCAGTTCGACATCAACAGAATCAGCGCGAAGTCGCACAGCTGATGTTGATATGTTTCCAATCTCATCTCTATAGTATATATCCTTGGCCGACGCTGGTAAAATCGTCTGAATGGGTAAAGTGGAGCCTATTGAAAAAAAGTGCTTCTTTGTAGCGATTCTATACAAGCTAATAATGAATCTAATGCCAGTTGCTAGCCGCTCCTAGCTGCTCTTAGCCTCCTATTAGATTGTGCATCATCACAGAAACAGCTCTTAGATTTCTAAGAGCTGTTTCTATGATGATGCAACAACAAGCAAGAGTATGGATGCTCTTTTCATCATAACTTGCAAAAGTGATGAAACTTATCACAAAGTTAGAAAAGATGATATATAAAACGAAAAGCACGTAAAAATGGCAAATCATCAGTGCTTTTGGAACACTGTATTTTCTTCTAAATCGGATGAAGTCAAACTTTGTGGAATATGCCTGCTCTGTATAGCAAAACATTGCAAAAATGGAAAGTGTGAAGATCCCACCTGAGATGACAGATCGATAGTCCTCTCGACATTAGCCACTTTCCAATCAGCAGCAAACGCCACTCCCACAATGAGGATCAGTGGCATTGAAGGCTCGCGCAACTGGGGGTTCATTTTTATCTAAAACGGACCTCATTTGTATAACCTAAGCTGTAGAAGTGAAAGCTTACTCCTTTCCACGCTGATAAATGCAGATGCGTTGGCTTTCAGACCTCCATCGTCTTCCACAACGGCATAAATACGTAATGACCCTCTATCAGCCCCGATGCTGTTGCTTTGGCTTTGTCGGCATTCACCAACAAAGCATTTGCAGGACCTCTAAAACAAAAAAGAAGTAGAATTCGGTTTTGGATTGAATAGAAGCCTTACGAGACTTGTGTCCACTGGTAGCTAACAATGCTGCCATCGTCCTTAGCATTGCCATTAAGAACGATGGAAGATTCGGGAAGTGTATGATTACCGCCAGCATCAGCAACTAAAATTGTGATTTTATAAGATCAGAACTCAATTTCACACGGTAACACAGCAGCATGGAGCCATTGAAGAAGAACAGAGAATAATTGAATTCAAAAAAAAACATAACATAAAAGTGCGACATTCAAGAAACAACTCGCCTGGAGGCAGATTTTGAGCTTAAGCTGACACTGAAGGTGATTGAGTGCAACCGCACGAAAATTTGAAACATAAACCTGAAAACGAGGAACTTACAACAACATAAAGGCCAACGCGACGAAGAGCAACGCGGAAAAGAAAAAAACGGTAAAGAAACGCGCAAAAACAACAAAATCAACGAAACGGCGACTAAAATATGGACAAAGAGCGTAAACAGAGGACTCATCACCGTGGAGTTAGACGTTTGCTTGCTACGCGCCAAATCGATACGCAGCCGCTCCGGATACCTCCCATTTTCTGCTCCGGATACCTCCCATTTGTCCGGCGGAGCCCTCCCATTTCTCAGGCGGAGACCTCCCATTTTCTGCTCCGGATACCTCCCATTTTCTGCTCCGGATACCTCCCATTTTCTGCTCCGGAGGCCTCCCATTTTCTGCTCCGGATACCTCCCATTTTCTGCTCCGGATACCTCCCATTTTCTGCTCCGGAGGCCTCCCATTTCTGCTCCGGACCCCTCCCATTTTCTCCGGCGCGGCTCTTCCAAATTTGGCGGACTCGCGCCGGGCAAATTTCTCCGGCGCGGAGTCCGCCAAATCTGGCAGAGTCGCGCCGGAGAAATGGCGGACCTTTGCAGCAAGGCCGGAGAAGCCTCCCACTTGCCTGCAGTGATGTCACCGCGATGGACCGCCCATTTGCCCTTCTCTCATTGGTCAACTGGGTCCGGCGCGACTCTGGCAGTTTCGGACTGTCCGGCGGAGGGGTCCCGTCGATTGTCTGAGTAGCATCTATGCCGAACATATGGCAAGACGCCGAAGGTCCCACAAATTGGTGGTATTATATGTGCAATCTTTATAATCGTTGGTTAGCCCTGTGATTTGAACAGTCTCTAAGAAAATCTAACATCGTAATTAGCACCCTGTCCATAGCGCCTAATTGCCAGTTGTTGAGGTGCATATGGCGACTTTCTAGATTTCTTTTTGCTTTTGAAGTATCCCTGAATCGTTTTGCAAAGGAGGCGAAAGCATGCCACAAGTTTCTGCTCATGTACCTTTTTTTGAGCTCAATTACGTGTAAAAACAGAGAACTCTGACTTCATGCTGTAAGCAACATCACTCAATTACTAAACAAATGCATTTTTATTTATGAGGCATACTTGTTTAAAACTGAGCTTAATATACGCATTTCATTCTTTCATGACTTCAAACGAGCTCCAAATTACCCTGCTCGAAAAGATCGCGGATCAAATCAGCATGTCATCTCTTGCAGCCTATTTGTTCGCATTCGGATTTATCAAAGAATGTGGTTTTCTAGAATTACGGCTTCTTTGATTATATTTTGCCGTCACACATTTTTCATTTCCGTTCATTGTTATGTCATTCTTGAGTTTCTGTCTTTGCGACACAATTCCCCAGCATAAACACATTATTTTTCAAATCAAAATTGGTAACTTTACATTTTATCAATTCTGACTTCGGTCACGTTCTTGCTTTCCAATAAGATTAGCCGACTTCTTACATAGTAACTGCTTCGCCATTTCTGCTTCTCCCGGATATGCAGGTGGCGGTTCACAGAGTGCGAGCGCTTTCCACTTTTCAATGACAAAGCTTACGATTAGCGCTGCGGTTCCCTTTCTTATACAGGCGTATAAGGTGAATGAGTAATAGCCCAGTAATCTGATCAGCTTAAGCTGTGATTTTCTTGAATTTTGGTTGAAATATGCAATCTTACATGAAGAGACAGCATTTTTCTTATCTTCTGAATGAAAGGAGCAGAAACTAGCTATCGAATTTTGTTTGGAAAAACTCAAATTCCGTCAAGCAATTAATTTCATTCTCAATTGTTCTGACGATATTAACCATTTGATCTCTGCATACTCAAGAGTACGGCTGACAGCATAAACTAAAACAATACTGCATTGTACAAAACTTTCTAATTTGCTCAGCATCTGTGTCAGCCATATGGAGACGGCGCCAAAGGCTTACAAATAAATTTCTAATTGTTGGAAAGAGAAGATTTTTGATAATCGAAACAAGGTCTGCGATTTAGTCTATAGACATTGTATCCATGAGGCTCACAAGCTGAAACCTCCTTGAATATGGGTTTGGGTGCGGTAGACAAGTTGGTGGTTCATAAAGCGGACTGCATCTAGCCAGGGCTCGGCACGAGGTGGCTAGATGAAAATGGAAAAAAACGAAGTCCCCCTTAACTTTTGGGAATTTTTACGAAGTCACCTTTGACCCTCAACCAAATTTCCTTTAAAAACCTGAGAAATTCCCCAAAATCCCCCAAAAAACGAAACGTCGACTGAAAAAAAACGTAGCCAAGTCGCCAATTTTGCGTCTCTCTTCGGTCACAAAAACGAAACCCCCTTTGCTTTTTGTCCCAAAAACGATACTCAGCTTGCTTACAAGCCACCTGTGCCGAGCCCTGGCTAGATGCAGTCCGCTTTATGAACCACCAACTTGTCTACCGCACCCAAACCCATATTCAAGGAGGTTTCAGCTTGTGAGCCTCATGGATACAATGTCTATAGACTAAATCGCAGACCTTGTTTCGATTATCAAAAATCTTCTCTTTCCAACAATTAGAAATTTATTTGTAAGCCTTTGGCGCCGTCTCCATATGGCTGACACAGATGCTGAGCAAATTAGAAAGTTTTGTACAATGCAGTATTGTTTTAGTTTATGCTGTCAGCCGTACTCTTGAGTATGCAGAGATCAAATGGTTAATATCGTCAGAACAATTGAGAATGAAATTAATTGCTTGACGGAATTTGAGTTTTTCCAAACAAAATCTGATAGCTAGTTTCTGCTCCTTTCATTCAGAAGATAAGAAAAATGCTGTCTCTTCATGTAAGATTGCATATTTCAACCAAAATTCAAGAAAATCACAGCTTAAGCTGATCAGATTACTGGGCTATTACTCATTCACCTTATACGCCTGTATAAGAAAGGGAACCGCAGCGCTAATCGTAAGCTTTGTCATTGAACAGTGGAAAGCGCTCGCACTCTGTAAACCGCCACCTGCATATCCGGGAGAAGCAGAAATGGCGAAGCAGTTACTATGTAAGAAATCGGCTAATCTTATTGGAAAGCAGTGTGACGGAAGTCAGAATTGATAAAATATAAAGTTAAAGATTTTGATTTGAAAAATAATGTGTTTATGCTGGGGAATTGTGTCGCAAAGACAGAAACTCAAGAATGACATAACAATGAACGGAAATGAAAAATGTGTAACAGTTCAGTTTTGAAGAAGTATGCTCATAAATAAAAACATTTGTTCAGGAATTGAGTGATGTTGCTTATAGCATGAAGTCAGAGTTATCTGTTTTTACTCGTGATTGAGCTCAAAATAGGGTACATGAGCAAAAACTTGTGGCGGCGTGCTTTCGCCTCCTTTGCAAAACGATTCAGGGATACTTCAAAAGCAAAAAGAAATCTAGAAAGTCGCCATATGCACCTCTCAACAACTGGCAATTTGGCGCTATGGACAGGGTGCTGATTACGATGTCAAATTTTTTTAGACGACTATTTTATGAATATCATAGATTGTTCAAATCAAGGGCTAAGCAAAGATTATAAAGATTGCACATATCAACCACCAATTTGTGAGACCTTCGACGCCTTGCCATATGTTCAGCACAGATGCTAAGCGAACAAAAAGAGTTCGTTCAGAGTAAATCTCCGCGTTTGATTGCAATTCCCATTGGGCAAAACTATACAGGGTGTCCCAAAAAATGTGAACACTGCCTGATTGTTAGTAACTCCCTTGCTTTCATGTCTTTCGCCGAGCTTGAGGCACCGTTCTATAGAGCGAGGTCTAACTTAGATTTACAGTATGGAGCGAATCGTCGATCGCTCTTCATTACTGTAGGATTACGGTGGGAACTTCGACGAAGATTGGCCATTGGAGGCCATATTCTGCCTCGGAACAAAACCAAACAAGCCAAAAACATCTATACTATGGTAATGAAATCCGCTGATTTCGAAAATGAAGTCTCCACTTTACTGTGATGCTTCTTTCCAAGGTTATCCTAGGTAAGCCGTAGTAAGTAAATTTCCAGCATTTGTCAGAAATGTGACTACAACGTTAAAAAAGCTAAAAACACTCGTAAAAAGTTGTGTAATGAAATCAGCATGCACGAAATACCTAGTTCACAATTTTTCAGATTTTTTGAAAAAAATTTTAGTAAATGGCATATTTCACAGTAAATCCACATGCTAGAAATTCATACCGTAATCCTACAGTAACGAACAGCGATCGGTGATTCGCTCCATACTACAAATCTAAGTTGAACCTCGCTCTACAGAATGGTGCCTCAAGCTCGGCGAAAGACATGAAAGCAGCGGAGTTATTAACGATCAAACAGTGTTCACATTTTTTTGGGACACCCTGTATGTAATTAGTATTTGAGCAAGATCAACCACAAAAACATTTTGGGGCCCGGATAGCCGTCATTTTTAGAATTACCCTTACTTTTATCGATTTTATTGATTTTGTTTGCAAAATTTGAGCTCAGCGGCTGGGGAGTTGTTGAGGGAGGTAGGTGAGCATGCTGATTATTAGAGCGGGAATAGGGAATTGCATGTAAAATGGGCACAGGGAAAGGTTCTACAGGGGTAGGAGAAAGACCATAATCATAGCACTGACAGGGCCGGGCGGAGCCGGGTAAGCCAGCTAGTATGTATATAGAAAACTAGCTGGCTTACCCGGCTCCGCCGTATCCGGACCAAACTTGGCACACGTACACTTCGGGCCCCGGCGGGTGTCACAGTCCACTTTTCGTTATCGACCGATGTCGATTTTACCGATTTTTATCGATTTTTTTGCAGAGTTTACCTACAGGGCTAGGAGTTGGCACAGGGGGGGAAATGAGCATGGGAATTCCGAATACAATATTAGTTTTCAGAATTATCGATTACTTTTATTGATTTTATCGATTTTTTGTAAATTTTGACATGCGAGGCTGGGATTTTGCACAGGGGGGGTAATCGAGCATGCTGATTACGAACACAATATTAGTTTTCAGGATTGTCCATTACTTTTATCGATTTTGTCGTCTATCCAATGGTTTTTTTGCAACCTACTTAGAGAAGAAGTCTATAAATTGTTGCGGTTGGAATTCAAAACCTGCATTAATTTCAGAACCTGAAACCAGAGGGGATTGGAGTTTGCCATAAATAGTCGTGCTGTAGTTTGTAGCATGGAAGCATTTGCAGGAGTCGTACAGTCGATTGTCTTTGGAAGTAAAAAGCATTTGAGTACGGATTTACGCCACATATCTGGTACTCCGCCACTATGCCACTGCACATAAGTAATGTCATTATGCATAGCAAGTGCGTTCCTGGGGTATAGGCGTGCATAGTTCTTGGGAAATTACTTGACTGTTGTTGTAATGTTGAATCGCCAGATGATGATGGGTTCCATGGGAGTACAGGCACGTCCCACAATTACAGCTCCTCGTCCTTTGCCCTAATACGTTCGCTCGACCATTAAATGCCGTATAGTGAGAGTCAAAGGACGTCGGCGTTGAAAGAATGGGAATCTTCTTTTCTTTCCTGCTCTAGGATGCGATGCTTTTTCTCTGCACTGGATATCCCTTCTTTCCTTCTTCTTTATCCTCCCCATTGTCCTGCGGGGGCAGGGTCGGCTGTGGTGCATTTTTGCATCCATTTGACCTCGATCAGCTGCTTCTTGTGGTTTGAGCTTTGCAATGTGTAGGTCGTTTCGAATGGTGTCCAATCAGCGTTGCTTCGGTTGGTCACGTGATTTACTTCCCTGTGGATCTAGACGAAGCGCTGTCTTTGCTACTGTATTAACTTTACTTCGTGAAACGTGACCATACCGTCGTAATCTGGCAACTCGCATATTGTAATAGATGCAACTCCGAAAATGTGTCGCACATCTGTGTTAGAAACGCAATTTCTTCGCGTTAGGCCGAGTATTCATCTTATCATTCGCGCCTCCATCGTGCTCAGGATCTGCTCGTGTTCCCTAGTTACTGGCCAACATTCGGCTCCGTTCAGGGCGATTGGCCTTACCCCAGTCCGGTACACTTTTGACTGGAGATATATTGGAATTCGGCGGTCGCAGAGTACTCCTGTTACTTGACGCCACTTCAGCCACACTGCATTCGCCCTTGCACGGGCATCAGTGATCGTTTCGCAATCAGACATCAATCGGGAGCAGGGGTATTCAAAATCGGTGACCTTCTTCAACGGCCCCATCGATGCTAATTGTGCCGTCGGTGTCTTTGCTACGTTAAGTCGCAGGCCATTTTCCGCTACCGTGTCTTCCATCTCACAGTCGCCTCTTCGAGCTCCTGCCTCGATCCGCTTGTTAGCTCGATGTCATCCGCGTAGAGGAGTGTCCACGGGTGCGATAGTTAATGTCTCTCTCACCGTGTCCATGCACAGTATGAAGAGAAGTGGTGATAGGGCCGACGTGATGTACTCCAACTCGGATTGGGAATGGCATTGACGTTCCCACTGCACAGCGTACGCATTCGTCGTGTTCGTATAAAGTATTTTGATC